GCACTACCCTACGGTTGTCTCTGACAGGATGCTTTAAGGGACCAAGTTCGCCATTTAACCTGTATTGATTAAAAAAGAAAGAAATAAATAAAAAGTAGACTTTTTCTGAATTATTATGTACTTTCTATGATGATCATTTAGACACCACTGACAAACGGTGAAGACAAAACGTCGTGAAGAAACCTGGACTTATGTTTACTACAGATAATTTTGAAATCGTCAATCCGCCTTGAGCAAGCGTGCTGATTAATGCTCAAAACCAACTCGGTGTGAGAAGAGGCCTTTGCTCAGCAGTGGACACTTATAGGCTGATGATGTGAAGTCATGCAGATAGCGCCCGCAAGGTAGCAGGTCTGGTGGTGATGTATGATGATGATGATGATGATGATGAAAAGTAAAATGATGTACTTCCAAATGCACCCCCTATATACACAGAAGTGTCAGAAATCGTAGTGGCGGACCATTTTAATAAAAATCACATCACACACTTGTAACTGCAATTCATGATACTAATAACTGTTGAATATAGTGAACAGTGTTAAGTATAGCAGTTATATAACTAACTGCTAAACAGAGTTATTTCTAGACATAACACCAAGTTAGTTTAGTACACAATAACCGTATAAGACCTAAACTGTTCGGTAAACTGAAGTTTGAAAGTTTTTTACTGATGGTTAGCAATCAGCGCCGTCCATGGACACTCTCAACGGAGGTGTTACGAGTGCGTTGCCGACCTTATAGGGATAAGGGATTTGGAGATTTAGGGATTTAGGAGGGATTGGGGTGGGGAAGGTTTGGGTCTCCGGTAACCTCATTCACACGGCGAAACACAACGCAGTGGTTATTTCACGCCGGTTTTCTGTGAGGCCGTGGTATCACTCCGGTCGAGCCGAACCATTCGTGCCGAAGCATGGCTCTCCCACACTTAAAGTTACGCATATTATAGCTGTATTAATGTGATGCTAATCTTACATATAAAATTCTCGTCACAATGTTACTTACCTTACTTCTACGGAACGGCTTTACTGACTTTTACCAAATTTTATTTGCATGTTCATTAGGTCTAAGAGCCGGCTAAGCTAAGTACTGGCTATTTTGCATACCCCTTAGTGATTAAAAATTTATATGTATTGCAAAACAATGTTTGCCGAGTCATCTGGTAAAAGTATAAAACAGTCAATTCAAAAACCAACTTCAAGAATCAGAAGCAAAAAATATACCATAGCTATAATTATTCTTTTGTACTAGGGTTATAGGTTGCCTACACACCTAGAAGTAGGTGCCAGTATCGTATATACTGCCGAATAGACAATCTCCTCGTTTTGAAGTCCCTTAAAAATCTAACATAGAAGAGCGGTGCTGTTTTATTTCCGTAATAATCAATGATACGATAAAAAACCTTCTTAAAGACTCCTAAAACCATTTAGTATACCAGGCCCCACTCAAATACGCTAAGTTTCTGCTAATATCACATTTTTCTTTATGGTCTTTTTTGCATTTCTGAAACGACCTGTCTAAACTGAAGTGTGTTTGAATCTGACTGGTTATCGTTTATACAGAACTAAGCAAAATGGATTAGAGTTAGATGTTAAAATCGGATTATTGTATTTTTCATTTCTTCTTCTTCCTACCCTTAATTAAGGTCGTTCCTGATTCATTCTTCTCAGTTTACAATATTCCTCTTTTTCCTTTTTACTCCAATTTAGCATTCGTTTTGTCACGTGATTCTCTTCACTACCTAAAGAATTCCTTTCATGGTCATTTATGCAGTACTCCTTCTTGATCATTCCCAAGATAGACTTCTACCATCTTCCTCTTCGATATTTATTTCTTACTTCATGTATTACGATTTTAACTTTTGACCTCTTCTATCTTTAAAATAAGGTTTATATTAACATTCTATTTTAAGTAAGTAATAGAAATAGAAAGGTCTCCGACCTCATTACTCTGTTGGGCAAATACTAATGCTTGTGTCAACTTTATTACGATACTTACACTTTAATGGCTACGCTTTTCCATAAAGAAATAAACGATAGGACAGCACAGGTTAACGTTTTATTACTAAGGTTTAGGTCCAATCGTAAAGAAATTCAAAATGTTCTCTGTTATAGACATACTGGCAGTTACCTGCGGTTCCGTCTGGGGCTTGAACAGAAGCTTAATTTGTACCAATTGTCAATCCCCTCTTTGTCTTCAGATATACCTAGCAAATATAAAATCTTACACTTGTTTTTTTACAAATTTGACTCCCATTAACGGGACCACAGGGTCCAGGACATTTGGTAGGCGTTCAACGTACGAAGCCAAATCGCAGAGATTCTTTGGACTCAGGGAAGTGATCACCGACGGCAACCCCTCGCGCCCGGCCTTCTGTAAAGCAGTTATGCTCGCAAAGAGAGGCGGACCACGTGAGGGAGCAATCCTCCTCCTCACGCCCCAGCCGCCGCAGCAGGCAACACTCCGGGCGTCGGGGATCAAGGAATGATCTCCGGCCACCGTAAGCGCGGGTCTGCAACTGCGAGTAAGGGTAACTCGCCGCCCGACCACAACCAGACCCGAGACTTCACATTCACAGAAATCGGTTCAGTAGTTTTGGCGTGAAGAAAAGACAGACAGACAGAGTTACTTTCGCATTTATAATATTAGTTTGATTTATTTATCTTTTCGCACAAAGTACATAGGTGGTTAACGCCAACAAGCATTCTTGCCACCTTTGGGTGATGCAGTAAAATGTAGAATATAGTTGTTGCAACAAACAAAGTACAATAACAAACCTTAAAATAAAAGTAATAAAGTTTTAAATTCCCTATTAAATTTTGACCAAGCCTTTCACCAAGCCAAGATCAATCAGCCAAATCCTTCAACAATACTATTGAAGTCTAAGTTCAATATTAATCTAGATTATAATCTTTTATCGTAGAGAAAGTAACGCATGGCGTTACACGTGTGAACATTCGTCATCTTATAATAATAATAATATTCTCACTAATGTTTAATGTATAATATACAGTAGAAAAGTTAATAAAAACTATTTGAACATTTCATACAATTAACTATTGTAGCCATTAATCAAATATTATTGTTTTAAGTTCCCCTGTTGAAAACTTTACCATTGTCTCGTTTCTCATAGGTAGGGACTGTAATAAATCAACGCGAATTCAATTCGTAATCGTTGTGACTTCTTTAAAGTGAGCATTTCTACTGGGACTAAGATGTTGGTTCGTAGTTACCTATGTAAGTGAGATACTTGCACGTGGTAGGGGTAAGGATATGTGGTACCTAATTTGAAAGATTTTGAATTTGAAACTTTAGTGCCGTCGTGATAACGTGTGTTTTTGATTGATTCTAAACATATTTTAATGTTTTGATTTGGACAACCGCATAATATGTTTATACATCTTACTAATCTATAATATAAAAATGAGTCCCGAAATGTGTTGGTAACCGCATAACTCAATAACGACTGGACCAATTTTGCTAATTATTTTTTTGTTGTTTGTTATTTTTATGTGAAGGTTCTTACGAAAGAAAACTTAAGAAAAGTAAAGGGGAATATCGGGAATTAACAAACCTTTAGGTGCTGTGGTCGTTTGTTAAAAAAACAAAGGAGTGGCGGGGTAGTCGGATACCTACCCGTGCGAAGCAGGGTCGCGGGCGGTCCGCTAGTATTATAAATGCGAAAGTTACGATGTTTGGATGTTTGTTAATCACGCCAAAACGGCTGGCCGGATCTGGATGAAATTTGGCACAGGCATAGGATACTAAAAAGATTTTGAACTCGCTTTTTAAAAGTGAAATATACAGAAAACTCTCTATCACACCACTTTCGAGTTTCCTTCGTGCAGCCGTGGACAACACTAGAACACGACATTCGTGGGCCCATGAATCTTATCAAATAACACCATCAGTCTATAACTGTTCACTGCTGAGCAAAGTCCGCTTCTCACACGGAGAAAGTTTGAGCATTATTGATTGGCGATTTCAAACTTATAATTATTAGAAATTATAAGTCCAGGTTTCCTCACGTAGTTTTCATTCATCGTATATAATATTAAGTATCAATATGACTATTTCCGAGTTATGTGTACTTTCTATGATAATTTAAACAATATTAATATTACTAATTTACAACCAATAGACACCAGCTTTAATTAATAAAATAATGTTTTAAGTGCGGGAGAGCCAAGTTTTGGCTCGACTGGAGTGACCCTGAACTCTATCAATCTCTCCGCCCCTGGTATTTCCTATTCCCGTACGCAAACCCTCTAAGAGACTGGCAAAACACTTCCAACTAGTTTGGTGTTGCGGGTATCAAATGATCCGTCTGCTAGTTAGTCGCCCTATACCATAGAAAAAGATGAAAGATTTTCACAGCTACGTTTGGCTTATCCAATCCAAGTCAGTACGTGTGTCTGTTGGTATTACTTCAGCCACGTTCGGCGGGCTCGCATGTCTATTTGATAATTAAACATTATATATCGAATTCACTATCTAAGATCTACATTCTAGATGTTAAAGATAATAATTTCTCGTTCTGATTGTTTTTGCTTAAGTCTTTAATTTCAAACGTTTACTTTGAGTAAATATGAAATTATAGTTTTGCAAAAAGATAGGTAGGGATATTGATGTTTTACTTAAGTTTAATAGTTTCTTCTCTATTTAGTTTTTTAGTTAGTTACTTTAGTAAGTTCATGGTGGTCTAGTGCCGTTGAATTCATATATTTAAAAAATATCTGATTACGAAAAAAAGCTTGCATATTTTATATAATGTCACAATTAGGTAATATCCTTAAAGAATCAAAGCGACAACTGTCTAATTATAAAATATTTTAGAAGATAATATTATACAAAGATCTACTGGTAGATAGCTTTCCCATCTGACTCCTAGATAAATAATTTTAATTATTATGTCTGATTTTTCTCTTAAAGGAATTCATTGCTAAATAAATTACTTACCGTCAAAAAACTCATTAAAAACCAATTCACATTTTCTTTTACAGGCTATGGCCGGTTTAGTAGAAGCGTGCTCGGCGCGTGCGCAATGTCATTCTTCGCGTCAGGAGTCCAGAACTGTGTGATGTCTTACGTCCTCCCAGCTGCTCGATGCGAGTTGGAGCTCACCACCTATCAGGCTGGGCTGATCAATATGGCTTTTATGAGTGGTAAGTCTATTTTTTTAAGCGTTGGTTGAAGAATGGGTTGTCTTTGGTTGAGAAGACTACTGGAATAAATGGTTCAGGTCGACTTGTTATATTAGGTTCAGGGTTTATTGTGTGATATTGGCGCTTGCTTATTCAAGTTCAAGTCATTTATTTTACTGGCTCGGGGAAGGAAAAGGGTGGTTTCAGTAAGTTAAAGTCTGACACTCCCTCTAGGGCAGGATAATTCTATCAAACAGGTCTTTTGAAATAATGGCTTAAGGCTAACTAAAAGCAAAAAAGGTCTTATTAAAAGGCCCTGTTTGCTGCTTTTACTCATATAAAGTAAGTGGCGCTCACACTGAACTAACGTCATTATTTTTGTATTAGAACTTTCGTGATACATTAAATTAATCATCGCATAATGCTGCTTATGGATATGAGCCCCAAACATAGTTTGAAAACAGTCGAGCATACCAAAGGTTACGTGTGTAAGCCGTTACTTAAACATAATAGTTAATGTGAATAGTTTTACTAATTTATTTAATCATAAATAACATGGTCGCTGTCACGGTAATAATTTAATATTACAGTAGCACTGTTAGCTAGTCTGATTCGCTCTTGACCAGTTTTTTTAGGTTATATTGACGTTAAGAATTTTATAGACTGCGAAATGGATTATTGTTTTATGAACCTGAACGGCTGTGTGGAATGTCACTGAACACTAGGTTAGCTGAACTTTGAAAGGCATCAGTTAAGTACTTACCTACTAGTAAACTATGGGTTTACCTATTACTACATTATTTGTGGATTTTTTTTTTATATGATTGGACGGCAAACGAGCAGACGGATTACCTGATGGTAAGCAATCGGCGTCGCCCATGGACACCCGCAACAAAGAAGGAGTTACGAGTGCGTTGCCGACCTTTTAAGGATTGGGATTTTGGGACTGGGAAGGGATTGGGGTAGGGGAAGGATTGGGCCTCCGGTAACCTCACTCACACGGCGAAACACAACGTTGTGGTTGTTTCACGCCGGTTTTCTGTGAGGCCGTGGTAATTATATTTTAAGGTTAATTTTAATATATGTATTAATCTATAAAAAGGTGTAGATAAATATTAGATGCAAAAAATATTACTTTACAATTTAGTAAGTAGGTTTCTAATCTCAAAGAAAGGTATCATTGTTTTTTCTTCTTGAATGGATTCTACTGTTGCCACTATCCCTTAAGCTACACTAGCGCCCCTAGTGCCACAAACAATCTCATTAACTTACTACTAGAATTCTATATCAGAAAAACAGTACTAAGGAGGTAAAAATTGGCAAGAAATGAGGGTTCTCTAGCGGGAAATACCAACAAAATATAATGCTAAACAAAAAAAAGCGACGTCATAAATGTTGGAATTTTACAATTCGCTTCTTAGTTCGCGGAAGACGCACGCACGAGTCACATTTGATTTGTAATTAGGGTCTCATTAGACCCTCGTTGTGAAGACAAACATATTGAGACGTATTACTATCATGTTTGGGATAATAGAACCAATTCACACTTAGAACAATGTTTGTAGGAAGAGAATCTCTTTTTTTTGGTAGTTGCATCACCGGTTTTGTGTTGCAAAGACCACCCCTTACTAAAAGACCAGCAGTGTGATTCTGTAAGACTTCATTCTAAACTTCGAAGATTCGCTGTGAGTAGTAGTACACTAAATTGACCGCAACATTTTGATAGATAAAGGATGAAATGACGTTAAAAGTGGCATTCTAAAATGTAAATTCCTCGTCACTTCGCAAGTACTAATGCCACTTTTTTCGAAACAAATAATTAAGGAAAACAAGTTAACAAAACCTGGGGTTAAAATTTCTAATTATGAGTTTTAATTCACCAGAAATCGGCCTTGAGCGTGTGGTGATTAATCCTTATACCTTCTCCATGTGAGAAGAGACCTTTTTCTCAGCTATGGACACGACACGTATAGAATTTTTAGTCAAAACATGTATTAAATAAAGTATAATAAATTAATCAAAACGGATAATAAAAAAATGTCATGGTGGCCCGGAGGTTAAGGCGCCCGCTTCTCATGCATGAGGGTGCGGGTTCGAAACCTGGCGAGTAGGTACCAATGTGACTTTTTCCGAGTTATATGTACTTTCTATGATTATTTAGACACCACTGACATACGGTGAAGGTAAACATCGTGAGGAAACCTGGACTTATAATTTCTAATTATAAGTTTGAAATCACCAACCCGCATTGAGCAAGCGTGGTGATTAATGCTCTAACCTTCTCCGTGTGAGAAGAGGCCTTTGCTCAGCAGTGGGCACTTATAGGCTGATGATGATGATGATGATGATAATGGACAGCAAATAAGTTCTCAGACCCATCCGTAGTTTTTCTATACATCCTACTTCAGATAAAAATTCTTAGTAATATGTTTGTGTCGTTAAATTATAACTGTTAAATTATAACTTCTTATACTTCAAGTTTAAGTTAACTTGACATATCATAAGTTACAAAATCATAGGTACGTCCCTTTAAGAAGAGTCAAAACAATATCTCTCCATGCCCTATTTTCGACACTAGCGCCATCTTTTGACAAGACTTTCTGCGAATTTGACACGAGTAGACAAATAAAATGAGGCATCAAAAACAATAAACCAGTCGATCATGAAAATATAGATGACAGCATTTTGTCCTTATAAGAAACTAGCTTTTATCATATAAGTGACAGTTGTTAGCGAAAACGTATGAAATTATATCATGTTAATATATAAGTACAAGCCCTGAGGCACCTTAGTTACATACAAATACATATAAAAGGTTAGTAAATGAACATTCAGATGACCTGACTATAAGCAATCCACCAGTGATGCTGGCCTTTTCGGGATTAGGGATTTGAAAATCGGAGGATTTGATGAGTCTAAGAATTATCAATCTTAAAACATACGAAACAGCTTAGACTTTGTTTCGCACTTATTTTCTGTGAGGCCGTAGTCTTACTCGAACCGTGCCCACCCATTCATGACGAAACGTGGCGCTACTAGATTGAAATTCATACGAATACACAAAAGGAATGTTTTTTCAACTCCTTTATGTATCTGGGTATTACTTTCGAACTCCTTCACCAAATTGGATAGTTGTAATTATTCTAAGGATAGTTCTTATTGTATCCTAATTACCATTGTCAAGGTAAGGATTACGTGTAAGAAAAATTACATCCATTTTGGAATTACTGAAAAGAGTTCTTGCAACGAGAGCATTCTATAGTTATAGTCATTTATACTAATAATACGATGAGCTGCCATTGGATTTAAAAAAACTTATCCTATGACTATCAATAATAGATGTAATGACGCTCTTTTTATTTTGACATAGCACATTGGATAACTTGTGGGTGCTGAAAAAATTGAAATAGTTAATAATCATATCATACATAAACATATCATTACAAACAAATTAGTACTGTTCTAGAAGTAAATTTTATACAACCTAAGATAATAGGATACAGCTTTTAACAAAACAAAATGGACGAATAGAATTCTGAACTGCAAATTATGGTCATCACAATTTCCTAAAACAAATTAAAAGAGAAGAGCTTCTTAATTCAGGGGCAAATGTAGTCTAAAGCAATGATGTGGAAGGAAACATCGCCTATGTACTACAAATTGACCGCTTATGTAATTCAGTACGATTAGCCAGCGGTCTGATCGGAACAATTAAACAATCGAGTCGCCCACGACCGAATCAACGTTTTCATGTTACATTACAACCCAAGGAGATGGAATGACTAAGAACCCAAATTGAGGACCTAGAATAAATAGGTCTTGTATTATATTACTTTGTTAAGAAACTTTGTGTGCCCAAATATTTGAGGAGACATGTTCCTGCATACACTTTTTGGTTCCATGGTAGTATGTATACATCTATACATATATTAATTAATCTTCGTTCTGCGTTCGTTCGTTATTCGCGCTAAAACTCGAGAACGGCTGCTCTGATTTAGATAACTTTGTTGACTAAAATATTGGTAGAAGTCCAGAAAAGATTTAAAAGATCAAAAGCTTAATTTTGAGCCGGTACGAAGTTTGCCTAGTCAGATACAAATAGTTAAAATTTTGTATAAGTTGAAAATCATATGTTTGATTCGTTATTCTATTGGTATTGGTCTTTTAAGAAAGCATTCTGTTGAAGGATTGTTTAGCAATTGATCAATAGCCTCGTACCGTCTGTTTAGAAACTTAGGTCTCCTGCTCAAGAAGACTTTTGTTTAACGTTTTTTCTGACTCACATTTTGATAAAGTTATTGATATCGGGAAGTACGACAAGTTCATCAGTTAAACTGACAGAAATTTAATCAGACTTTGTAAAACTGACTTTCGTTATCTGACTCATTTTTGCATTGTTATATTGCCCATTTAGATACGCTACTTTCTTGACCACTTTTGTCAGTACTTAATAATTCATCTCTTCTATCTTCTTCTTCTCCAGGTGGAGTAGCCAGTGCATTCTTCTGGGGTATTGTAGGAGATGTGTTTGGAAGAAGAAACGTGCTGAGCATGACTCTTCTACTGGATGCTACGATCACACTTGCCCAGAGCGTCGTGGCTGACTACCGTTTACTTCTGGCTGCTAGAACTATAAATGGATTTGTAATAGGTATGTTGGGATATTATTACTAATAATGGCAAGAACTATATTGTCGTATGAAAATCTATAACAGTCAGAAATCTTCTTAAAATGAAGCAGCGTCACGAATGGGCTGGCTCGACTGGAGTGATATCACAGCCTCATTTGAACATTCTCCATGTGTGTGAAGATACCGCAGGCTCAATTTTCACGTATGACATTACACCTATGTAAATTCTTTATGAGACCCAAGTATTTTTGTAAAAAATATTATTATTATCATGGTATCGGTACCGATAAAAATTGGAGATCTTTTTCATACAGAGCTTTATTGAAAATTGATTTTAAAATGTCATAGAAAACCTGTTAACATGACATGACAGAATGTTGTTTTATCTGTTAAGATGGAAAAGAGCATTATTACCTGATGCAACGACGGAGTTAACGAGTGCTTTGTTAACCTTTAGGGTTTTTGTAGATTTAAGTATTGAGAGCCAGAATGTTTTTATGAGAAACAGAAGTTGTTAGACAACACATTTTTGAACCTGACGAAACATTTAAGAATTAAAAGATGCCATGCTTTTGGGTACAAGACGAGATAATGGGATTCTGTCTTCTATAAGCCTTAATAAAAACTTCAACATCTGCTCTGAGTCGAGGCCGTGGTGTCTAGTTGCTCTTGTCCCGCGAGCCCGGCTGAACTTTAGCTCTGTAGGGCTCCGTGTTTGGTCTATTGGCTCTTTGAGGCAGGCTCTGAACGCTAAGCGCCGTACGCTCGGGTCTGGTTCTGGTTGGGCGCCGAGCTCCCCTTACTCGCCGTCCGCAGACTCAGCCCCTAAACGCCTGTGATCAATAATGGCAACTTAAATTCATCTTGATCTTATTTCTGTTTTCTTCACCAGGTGGTCCTGCAACGCTAGTGTTCTCCTACTTATCTGACCTGGTAGGACCTAAGAAGAGACAGCTGTACCTGAGCATGGTCGGCATGAGCTTCGTAGTTGCTTGGCTCATTTTACCTGGTGAGTATGCTTCTGATGCTCAGTTTTGCTTACTTATGAGTCTATATGCGCCTACTGCTGAGCAAAGGCCTCTTCTCACGCGGAGAAGGTTTGAGCATTAACCACCTCGAGTGCTCAATTCTGATTGGCGATCCAGGTTTCCTCACGATGTTTTCCTACACAGTATGCCAAAAGTGTCTAAATAAACTAGGTAATCTAACACCTAGGCCAATACGACACCTTTCTTTGGGTCTAATCTTAAAACTGTAAAACAGAGCTTAAAGAAAGTTTAATAATTGAGATGATCCTAATTGATTTTCTTATAAGCTTAGTTCTGGAAATCCATTTTTTATATCACCATACTTTCTGTTCTGAAAAATAAATATTGATACTAAATTAATGAAATACAAAGTGTGGCACTGGCACGAGGATCTATTGAGACAGTATCAAAACAAATTTACTTTCATTACCGCTAACTAGAAAGTGTGTGGAAAAATCCATAAAGGAATATAATTCTTACTAACTAAACGTAAGCAAAAAAATGTAATACTTTCTCTGCAAATATACATAGGTAGTAGGTACAGATCCTTAGTAGATAAGTTATCTTAACATACTCCGAATAATTTTATTTAACTTGTTTTTATAACAATGTAAACATATAGATGTGAACTACTGACCTAACGGTTCAATATTTTTAAACATGGAACCTTGTACAGTCGCAGTGCAAATATTATGAATGATATTTTTTATTATTCGTTTTTTTCCAACATAGCTCATCGGTTTCATATTTATATTTTGAATTTAGAATAGAATTAAATGTGTACGGTATTTTTTTTTATTTAGCAATGATAATTATAGTAATGAGATATGTTATAGAGTTATTGTTTTGTTTCGAATAATTTTTTTTTCTTTTAATTACCTAATTAATAAAGATTTGACTGATGAAACTATACAAACTGAAAATTGTTCTGTTTATTAGATCACGTTTAGCTGAAACAAATAAATAGGTTATTATAATAACTGCTCTTTCCATGTGTCTTACCCAAAGTTCGAGAAGGAGAAAATGCCTAAGGCATAATATTTAAGTTTAATTGCATATTAATTTAAATAACTAAATAAAAAACAAGAAATAGTTTTGACTTATTTTTTCTATCTATTACGTCGTATGAAATTGGTAAATGTTTAGCCAGAGACACTTTACTTTTCGGTAATTGAGCTCGTTTCACATTTCGTCATCACCAGTTAAAGTTCAATGAAACTCAGATTAGAATGCATACTGGAAATTCCAAATCTTAATTTAATTCAGCAGACTAAAACTATCGATACAATCTTTATTTCTTTAGCGCGTGACTGTACATCTCAATCGGAGATCAGTGTCACACATTTGCAAGTATAAAACATGCGTACATGGTTCCGTATTAGAGAAATTGAACGTTTCCGAGATCTGGCCTAATACTATTACACTTAAAGAAAATCTTTGTTTGTTCATTACGATATAAAATAATCTTTTAATATTCTGAGAGTGAAATGAGCTTTATCTTTTGCACTGAAACTAGTATTCCCTCGAATAAAAAGATTGACCTTGAGTAGGCTGCGCGACGCCGCCGCGTCCGCGCACGCTGCTCATGAGGAAGAACCCCTCTGTGGTTCGAAACTAGTAGAACTTTTCTCAATTTATACACGTGAGTAACCCGCGATTTTTAGTTAATTTAGTATGTCTCACGTTAGTTATTATAAAAAAAGATTGACCTTGATTGATTTATGGGTTCATTCATACTCTTTGGTATAATCGGTGTGCGTGGTAATCTTCACAGTCATTTGACTTGCAGGGTACAAAAATTAATGGTGATTCCAGAACCTTTTTTCCCCTACTCAGTTATTTTTTATTCATTAATTAAAAAGGTATGGTTTAAGTTTTACCATGTAAAAAAATGTCCGACAAAACTATACACATAATTTGTTTCTCAGATCAAAACTATTACTAAGTTTACAATATAATTTATTTTATAAAAAATAATAGTGTACTATGTAAGTTAAATATTAAGTTAGAGTTATAAGTGTTATGCATATACAATATAAAATTTCCAAATCTAATTTTTGGTATACTATATATTTACTGCTTCGCACAAGCATCTAGCTCACGGAAATGTTGACCATTGGTTACAAAAGATATTGATTAATACCATATTTTAATTAACTTTAACAATAGATACTGTCTCTATATTGACTTAATCAATCTTAATTTTCTTATCTGCATACCAAACAAGCAAGTTTTGTTTCTTGAGGAAGGAGAATCATCTAATGACTTCTCACTCCTAGGGAGTGTCGGACTCTTACTGACTTAAAAACACTCCGTTCCTTCTCCTGCTCCAGGTTGTGGTCGCTGAAGCTTATTGCGCTTGCCCAGCAACCCTGCTTGAACATCAGCCAAAATGGGCCAAAGCAGGCTGACTGTTCAAAAAAAAAATGTCACTCAAATTAAAAACATCCGCACTTTTAGAGACTTGGTAAAAAAGTGTTGTATTTTATTATTTATTTATTTTATTTATCATATAAATAAACAAATTATATTTTTAAACATTTCTTAAAAATTAAAATCATTTAAAAATATAAAAAAAAGTGTCCCACCGGTATCGGGAACAGGGTCCAAGCTACCGGCAGTCAGGGCTCCAGAGAAAGAAACCTCCTGACAATACGAGCCGTGTCCAGGAGCACCACTTTCTGGACACGTATTCTATTTATTATTAGGTTTCATTTTTATCCCTATATTATTATAAATCCTCCAGGAGCATGACCTCATCGAGAGGAATGTTCCATACGGGTAAAGCCACAGGCAAAAGCTAGTGTTTTTACAAGCAAATACTTAATGTTTTTTTTAAATTACCAATATGTAGTTACTCTAATGGAAATGTACTGAGGTACTTTCACTTTTTTTGCTTATACATGCATGTGATAGTTTTTGTATTTCAAAGTCTCTTGTTAGAGGTGTAAGTTCATTATCGCTTGGCCTGATTCCGATCACGATGTTAGTAATTGTATAAGACTGTGTTTTATAAGACTAGCCAATGACGAAGACATTCTTCACACATAGGTACGGTACATATACATTTGTGTGTCATTTATTACTTTCAAGACCAGATATGCGGGGTTGCGGGGCAAAGTGTAGAAGAGCCATGCTTCGGCACGAATGATGAGTGACACCACGACCTCACAGAAAACCGTGTGAGTGAGGTTACCGGAGGCCAAATCCTTCCCCTCCCCGAATCCCTAAATCCCCAAAAGGTCGACAACGCAATAAAAAACTTAAACTATCTGAAGCGGAAGACAAAGACTTAATAAGCCTGAACCTTTTAAACTGCGAATACCAACCAGCCAAGCGTGGAGTATACTACGAAAGCTTATATTTGGATGTCCAGAAGTGGACTACCAGGAGATATTCTTAATGATACTGCCCTGAACTTTAGTTCAGGGCAGTATCATTAAGAATTTCTAAAGAAATAATCTAATTCTAAAGAAAACGCCAAAGTGAATCCAACAAAATTGTGAGCTCAACTGCCCAATCATGGAGCGTATTGAGACGCATTGTTGAACCAGCCCTTATGTTTCTCTCATCATCCATGAAGCTATTATAATGAGAATTGGATTAGGTCGATCAATCATAATACTGTAGTCTGTCTGATTCATGTACTGTCATAAAGAAGTATTAATTTTTGTGATATATCATTATCTTGTAATAGTAAATAAAAAAAATCTGAGACTAGGTATTTAAATTTCTGACACGGTAACCAGAAACCTGAATGAATAAACTGAGAATATGATAAGATATGAAAGTCTAATTTACTTTGTACTACTCTGTAGTATGTTATTATCGACAACAAACAAATAGACAGGGCCTCAATACACAGTGTTGATTTAGGAGCGTTTGGAAACTTTCCTCTTTTATTTTATTTGAAGGGGAAAATCATCAGATGTCTTCTTTCGCCCAGGGTAAGGCGAGAGGGAGTGTCAGACTCTAATTGACTAAAGACTTCCTCGTTCTTTCTCCTGCTCTACGCCAGGAATGCAGTGCCTTAATGCGCTTAACCCGCAACTCCGGCTTAACATTGGTCCTGTTGGATCCCACCTGTGGTGGTCTATTGATAATTAAATATCGAAAAATCCTTATAAATATGATCCACAAAGTTTTTTGCCAGTACCAATACAGGTTTGAAAAGAAAATATTGAATGTATTTTTTTTTATCAATTTACAGCTATCGCCTGGCTGGTGATACCGTTCAAAATGGCTGACCATGAGACCTTACTCCCGATCTACTCGTGGAGACTTTTCCTGGCTCTCTCCAGTATACCAGGGTTCATTTCTGGAGGATGGGTCCTCGCCCTCCCAGAGAGTCCGCGGTTATTGTCAGATACTAACAGAAGTGAGAAGGCATTGAAGATCATGGCTGACATTTACAAGTCAAATCACGGCACTAGTGCTGAATTTAAGGTATTTCTTTCTTTTGAGATCGTATGTACTTATGTTTCTTTAATATAGTTTAAGAATTAAAGGGTTGATGATGATGATGATGATAATGTTGATTATGGATCTTATTAATGGTGGCGATTACATGACGTAACCTCAAAGTAAATATATTAAAAGAAAATTGTCGAAGAAGTTGTCTAAAGTACTTTTTGTGTTGGGAAAGTCATTATTTGTCTTCTTTGGGTGGGGCGAGAGTGTCATACTCGTACTGACTAAAAACCACCCCGTGTTTCACCTGCTCTAGGCCGGGGCCTGCGGTATATTAATGCGCTTGACCCGCAACCCCGGCTAAACATCAGCCTTGTCGGGCCCCATCTGAGGTGGTCTATTAGCTCCTTACGTCGTAAATGTTCCTCTAAAAATTAAATTATATGAGTGAATAAAGGTAATCCGAATCTGATGGAGTATATCCACAGACACAAAAAAATATCAGCTGTTTATATTTCTCCAATACCACACAAAATTGGACTGGATGCAAATAAAACATGAAATTGTAAACTTCCAGATAAAGAAACTTATTCAAGATGAGGTGTTTGTAGGCAAGACCCTTAGCAGCGAAGAGAGTAGGACCAAGGTCCTATTCATGAGCGTGATCAAAGACTTGAAGACCTTCGTGTCCAAGAGTTATGCTGTCAAGTCCAGTCTGATCCTGTTCATGTTCTTTGCTAATATGGCTGCGTAAGTATTTTACTTAAAATCTTCTTTGAGTTCTTTATTGGAAGAACCCCGAATATGAATCTGAATACCTATGGAGAATCTTGCTTACACAGAATATTTTAGAATTATGTAGTTTGACTATGCAAATTAAGCTATCATGTCATGTATATCGATAGCAATAGGATTACTGCAATTTTTCTTTTTTTTAATGCGTCTGCATTTATTGTAATAATACTAATGAAAACATTGTCATCTCTGCCTCTTCAAATTTGCACAACGAATCTTTCCAATTATTTTTTATTTGATATCGTGGCAAATGTACGGAAGGATGACCTGATGATAAGCAATCTACGCCGTCCATTGACGACCGCGCAAACAGAAGATTCACGAGTGCGTTGATGCGCTTTTGGGGATTAGGGTTTCGGAGATTCAGAGATTGGGGGAAGGGTAGGATTGCCTCCGGTAACCTCACTCACACGGCGAAACGCGACGCTGTGATGGTTTCACGTCAGCTTTCTGTGAGGCCGAGAAATCACTCCATTCGAGCTGACCCATTCGTGCCGAAGCATAGCTCTCACACACTTTTAGTATGAAAGTTTATGAATTAATGAGTTCCATTCTCATTTTTCAGCGGTTTTGGCCTAAACATGTGGATCCCAGAACTTCTCCTCCGTATCCAAGGCCGAGAATGCAAGTTGGCTGCATCTGCCGCTAAACCAGAAAATGCAAGACTATTCAATGCCACCACCCATTGGAAAGATCTGAAATATGACTCATATGGCAAGGCAATCCCGGTCCCCGGCCTTAATGATAGCAGTAACTTTGACGATCATTTTGGGCAGGGAATTCCTTGTGATTCAACAATAGATTCAGAGGTGAGGAATTAACTTGTGTTTCGTTCTTTAAACGTTGATCTGGTCTAACCTTGAATTAGCTTAGCTATCTAAACAGATTGAGATGAAATATTTCATGACCCCTTAAGTAGCCAAAGCAAGTCTGCTTCCAGATTTAAAAAAAGTTGCTGTTTAAAAAAAAACGTGTTCCAAGAATATTTACTTGGCCCTACTAGAACAATAACTGTTCCATTAGTGGTCATCTATTATTCAAAATCTTCTCAGTTGAACTAAGAGGCCTTCTTCATAAATTTTCAGGTGTTCACATCAGGCCTGATCGTTGGAGCTTGCTGTGTCCTCGGCAATGCAGCATGTGCCATATTATGTGCTCGAGGAGGAGCCTTGGGAGTCCGTCGAGCAGCCATAGCCTGTACAGCAGTTTGTGCTCTCGCTAGTGCTTGTTTAGCAGCCACTGCGTGTTCCTGCTCCAGCTTCAACAAAATAGCCGTTGCAGCCGCTGCAGCGCTGAATGCAGCGTCTCTCAATGGAAATGTACTCTTAATACGACTTTTGCTGCATGCTCTGCCGGCTAGATTGAGGTATTTTTTCTTAATTTGAATTTTATCTATAACTGTTGCTTTGCGAAATGCACGAAAAGAAAGTTTTTTTAAGTGATAGGACGGCAAAATAGGTAATATATTACCTGATGATAAACAATTGGCGCCGCCAATAGGCACCCGCAACATCAGAAGTGTTTCGAATGAGTTGCCGGCTTTTAGAGGTTTTGGTTCTCGGAGATTTAAAAATGGATAAATCCCTAAATCTCCGAAACCGGGAGGGGTAGGATTGAGCCTCTATTAACCGCACTCACATGCCGAAACATAATGCTGTGGTCGTTTCATGCCGGTTTTCTGTGAAGCCTAGTTTTTCACTCCGGTCGGGCTGACCCAGTACCAAAGCTTGGCTCTCCCAACCTTTATTTTATTCAAACGAAATAAATTTTCTTCGTGGTTTTGTTTGATACATAGCTCAATTAATATTTCTGTCTTCAGTGGTCTAGGAGTATGTTGGGGCGCCTGGTGGGGCAGAGCTGGTGGCGTGGCCTCTAACCTGGCAGTAGGAGTGCTGTTGGACTTTTCTTGTCCTGCACCCTTCATTGCTGTAGGAGCTTTACTAGCGTGTGAGTATCTTATTAAGAACCTACTACACAACATCTTTATCTTACGAAATTAAACTTTAGTTTTGTCAAATTAGAGTAAATTTTCCATTGTATTTATGGTGGTCTCATCGAAAACCATTCAAATATGATTTGACTGCTCTATGTGATGGCTGGTCAACCGGCTACAGCACATCTTATGGCGGGTTCGATCCCTACACGGAACAACTCTTCGTGTAATTTGTATAGGTACCAGCGACAGAGGAGATAAAACCCTTGTGTTGTGAGACAATATTTTTTTTAACAAAAAAATTTTTTTTTTAATTTTTACGTTTTGGTACTAAGTAATTTTTCAATTAAATTGCTTGCGTAGAAATCAAACTTCATATGACTTATGTTGATGAAAACTCCTAAATCGATGCTTATATTTACTTTTGCTATCTTCACAGTATCTATTGGTGCCATAATGGTGTTGAAACTAGAAGAAGACAGAGAAGAACCGAGTCAGAAGAAAGAAGAAGATCTTGACCACGGACAGGAGAAGAATACTGGACTAGACAGATATATATCGACGTATATGTAGTTCCTAGTACAGTTACGTAGTCAAAACAAGAGAAAATTCAGTAAAACTTGGAGTATAAGGAATAGAGATGATGACAGATTAAGAAAATTAAAAATCTTTTTACTCCGTAACGTGTGTTTTTGGACACGCATTTTTTGATGTATCAAACTAGTTTTTAAAAGTAAATTACACTAAATGGTGTCATCACGCGATATTTCCAATCACATCATCAACCTATAAGTGCCCACTGCTGAGCAAAAGACTCTTCTTACAAGGAGAAGGTTTGAGCATTTTTCACCACGCGTGCTCAAGGCGAATTGACGATTTCAAACTTATAATTAGAATTTACAAGTCCAGGTTTTCTCACGGTGTTTTCTTTAACCATATGTCTGTGGTGTCTTGTGTGAACTTAGAAAGTACATATGACTCGGAAAAAGTCACATTGGTACTTGCCAGGTTTCGAACATCCTCGTGCCTTAGAGAAGTAGGTGCCTTAACCTTCAGATCACCACGATGTTTTAAATAATTATACCGTCAACCATATTTGATTGTGAAATAAAAGAAAAAATGCGTGTCCAGATTTTTGAATTATTCTAAATTAGGGACAAATAAAAGTCATCATCGCTAATGTGGTAATCCGTCCAGAAGAATGATAGGAACGCTATATTAAGTATTTATTTTTTGGTATCTGGTAGTACAGACTACACACTCCTTCTTAGCTGTCAGTTCAAAAAGAATGCAATCAGAATGAAAATTGAATCTTATGAGCTCAGGTTTTGGTTTATTTTGCATTTTTGTCTATTAAGCGGCTGTTTCAGATCTTTCGTATAAGTTATCGATTAACTCATGTCCATTAAAATTAAGTTCTGTATTTAAATTTATCTGGTACACACGGTTTGTTCAGATTGCGAAAAAGGTCTTGAGTTAACTTTACATAGTTTTTATTTTAGATTTGTAAAGGTAAAAAATCACTATCGATGTCTTGATCTTTGATCTTGTAAATCTGTTAAATAACAAAAGTATTCTCTTTTGATAGCTAGCAAAATATCTTATGAATACTAATACTGTAGCAAATGAGGAAGAGCCATGCTTCGACACTAATAGTCCAGCTCGACCGAGATACATATTAATACTCACAGAAAACCGGCATAAAACAATACGTCCATTCTGTTTCGCCGCATGAGTGTCCTCTCATCCCCAAATCCCCAAGTCCCTAACCTCCAAAAGACCAGCTTCGCAATTGCAATTCCTCTAGAGCGAGTGTCCAACGGCGGCACTGATTGCTTACCATCAGAATCTCCTTAACTTTTCAAAAGACCAAAAAATAACATGAATACCAATTTTTAAATCAGCTATTAGCTCCCACCAAAAATGTATACTCCTATTAACTTCTGAAGCTAGATCTTAACTACTTAAAGTAGTTACTTTACTTAAAGTACTTTACTTAGGAAATGTTGCCTTATTTACTGCGTACATGGATAAGTACTGTGTCTTATATGTTTACGTAATAATAGATCTTAAGGCTTGTACATAAGGTCTATGTATTGGAATTTAAACTATATCCTCCTTATTACAAAACAAAATTTATCATTAGTCTAAATTTAAACCATAGAGTCAGGTTTAGAATTGTGCGTTTTATTCGAACCTGTTTAAAATTCGAAATACAAATACTGGCTCAATGTTTTCGATTGATACTAAAGAAAAACCTTGTAATGTAATAAGGTCGTATATGTAAGTAATAAAATAAATGTACACTTAGCCCATTCCGTAGGTTAAGCAAACTTTTAAAAATGTAGTAGACAATTTTTCGTTTTTATTGACGCTGTTTGACCAATGAGAATGCTTATTTATTGTCACGTGATTGGCCAATATTAAAAAAAGGTCTTACTATGACAAAAGTGATATTTATATCAAACGAATCTCTATGCACGTAATATCAATGTACTTTTTTAATTTTAAAATTGGAAACCATGACATCAACGTACACAGGAGAAGACCTCAGGCAATTAATATCAATAATAAATAATTCGTCATTTGGAAGGTTTTCTCAATGAAAAGCATTGAGTATCTAATCAATAAACCCTTTGTAAAAAAAATACGATATTTTTGTTGGTTTTTGTATTTGTTTTAAAAGAATATTGGATTTAAAATCCATGCCTTATAAGCATTTTTAAAGTAAATTCAAACATATCAAAAATGTTTGTAAAAACTATTAATAAATAAGTATGAAAATAGAAAATATTAATTAGGTATTTATAAGTCGTAAAAATAATATTTAAGCAAAGTTTAAGTAGAATAAGATCTCGTAATAATAAGAATTTTGTATTTATTTTTAGGTAATCATAAAAAAAACTAATTCGACTGTTAATTTTTAAACGAAGATTAATATTTGAAGCATTTATAGCCTTTAAATAGCCGTATGCGTAATTTATAGCCGGTCTACTCAGGCTATAAATAATGGTTATGGCTGTTTAAGACCTATTCACATTGCTCTGTGATTTAAACAAATAATAGAAATTATTTAAGAGACGTTTGTAACGAACGAGTTATTTTAATGTAAAATAAATGTAATATTTTAGATAATCCTTTAAATTAAATGTTAAATAAATGATATTATTTATATTCATGCGTATTTTATTATTGAATTAATTTTAAGTGTGGGAGAGCCATGTTTCGGTACGAGTAGGTCGGATCGACCGGAGTGACATCACTGCCTCACAGAAAACCAGCATGAGCAACCCCAATCCCTCCCTAATCCCTAAATCTCCAAATCCCTAATCACCAAAAGGTCTGCAACGCACTCGTAACTCCTCTGTTGTTGCGTTGAAGGCATGCAAATTTGAATAGAGAGTTCACAGAATTTTAGTTTTTAATGGCCACGGAGAGAAGTAGCAATTAACGAACGAAAAAAAAATGAATGTATTCTTTCCTCTTTACGTTTTCTTTCTTAAAATAAAATAAATATTCCTAAAATAATTAACATTTATTTTATTAACAAATTTACACTGTAGAAGTTAATACAAATTTTAATTGAGATAATATTTAACTAATATAAAATTAACTTTTTTCATTTACAACTCACAACCTAACTACTTAAATATTAATTTCTTTAATTAATTTTACTATGAAAATTGGTATTATTATTTTTGCTTTACAAGCGCCATCTATTGAGTACTTCAACACTTAATTCGTTTATACGAAATCTTAGCATAATGGAGTTTAACAAAACGTGACACGATTATTTGATTTCACAATTGAATTATATAGCTAATAAGCACCATTTTTATTAATTAACGTATCAAGATTAATAAGAGAATTAAGAAACAGAGCCAACTCATTCCACTATCACAGTTCTAGAAGAAAACATTCGTTATATAGTTGATCTTTGGAATACTGTCGTAGTCACACTCATTTTTTTCACAATTATTAATGGTCGCCGCAGACGAGCCACCATGCACTATCACTGTAGGTATGGCATTTTCCATGTAAGTAGTTAATATAATAATATCTCGCTCGGCTAATCAGGCTTACCTATCAAGGTAGCTACTAGCTATCAGAAGTGGCCACATGCTTCTTCAATGAAAATTTTGTATGGCCTCGCCTCTCAGGAGATGGTTGCTTTCCTGCCCCCTAAAACCCCGCGCCAGTCGGTAAAAACTACCATACTTTTCACTAGAACGAGGTCGTATTTATTTAGTAACAATTTGATTTGTAGAAGATATGTATTTGAATTTCTCCCTACACCATCCCAAAAAAGACAATCACATCACAATAATCTTTGCTTCCACTTCCAGTTTCTGGTAGCGGCGTTGTTTGGTTGTGCCCTACTCCAAAAAGAGGGCCTGATCACCAAGTCGTCGACACATTAACCTTTGTTCAACCCTTTTAGTTTCTGGCGTTTTTTAGCAGTGCGCGGCAGCCCGTTTGTCGCGACCGTTAAAGTTCACAGAACCTTCATAACATATTACCTACATAATTTTTGACTAAATCTAATATTTTGTTTACATATCTTATACACTCACAATTTCTATATCTTCAAACATTAACACTATAACTGTAAACGATATAAAATAAATCACAGATATATGGAGACCTAGAGAAGTGGATATCCTTTTTTCCGTAACATTTGATTTAGCGTCGAAAAGACCAAGATTCCAAAGCGATGTGACTGCAGGATTTCTTTTGTCAAATATTTCAGATGTTAATCGTAGATAGACTAACACCCGGTTCCTGAAAGGCTTGTCGACGCTAAAATTAACTAATCTCCTGTTAAATCTCTTGTCAAGTCATCTGATCGGTTGTTGATAATTCAGTCAACCAATCAGATGACTTGACAAGAGTTTAAATTGATTTTAACATTGATCGGCCTTTCGGAAACTCCCAGATACATGACATTTAAAAGCTAGTCAATAGAAATAATTTATCGAAAGCCAATGTACCAATAGGAAGCAGAACATTCGATTTTCTTCTTCGGTCTTTTAAAAAGAATCCATACCCTTTTTCAACTCTAAGTCAACAAAAAGATATGCTATTTGTAGAGATAAATGTTTATCATCAACACTGTTCAGGCTCGTTGCTATCCGTAGATTTAACCTTTGCATTATTCAACATTTTCACCCTTTCATTGACATTTGTGTTTGAAACTGCTGGCTTGTCTGGTGGCAGGAACCAGGCTGCTACTGCACTAGCTGTAATTGGGGAAAATGAAGACAAATTTAGTTATATAAAACTCTCTAAAACTCTAACTATTTTATACAGTATAAGCTTGTACATTTCAAAACTTATTGCGCTGTAAGAACGCTGAAAGTAATTAAAGGAATGAGGGTATCTCGATACTTTTTCTGCTGTCAGGCAATGCTTTGTATGTGTCCGGCCCAAATACCGAACTATTATTAATTTTAGTGTGGATTACGCTCAAACAAAGTTTGCTGAACTGAAAATTGAGCTCAAAAAGAAGCACTAAACGAGAGGACTGGAAACCAATATTTCATCTGTTACGTTTTTAAGAATAAATAAACCAAAACATAGGTACCAATTAAATATAAATCGTATATGAGTTTTTACAGGTGGTTGGGCCTGACGCTACAGAGCTGCCAACTCACGGGGAACATTTCAGAATACCCATATTCGGAAGCTTCGGACAAACACAAAAAAAAAGATCTTTTAAAATTTAGAGAATCAAAAAGAAAAACTTACTTAAAACAAGAAGAGACCACAAGTAGAAGGTGACCTGGCAGTGGTGGAATATAAGGTTTCCAACTACGTTGATGCCGATGAATGTACTGCTTCGACCCACCATGATACTGAGGCAGGCAGCCATGCCCCTGCAATAAGAACCGAGTTTTCGATAGTGAAGGATACATGTAAGATTACTACCTAAAAGCTTTTATATGATTTCAAATTAACAACTGATCAAACTTAAGTATCTTGTTTGAAGCTAAATCTACAATTTAAGGTTTTATTATACATATTGTTATATTGTATACATATGGTCATAGTGCCAGACACGAATGGGCTGCCTGATTTAGTGGTACCACGCCCTCTCCGAATCCACTAATTGCTTACCATCAAGTGATATTTCTGCCTGTTTGTCGCCGCCAAAAAATAAACATGAAGGGTAATACCCTTAACTTCACATCAAATACTCACCTATAAGAAGTAGGATATATATCCACGAAGTAAGAGGCCAGGATGCCCATACCCAAGCAAGTACAGGTAAAGACCATGAAGAAGAACACGCTGGAGATAGGCTCTGGTACCAAATTGAGGCAGGTCCCACTAATGGAGGATAGGCAGAGGATGCAGATCAGCACTATTCTTCTTCTATTTTGAAGGTAGGAGATGAGAAAGTTGAAGAAAGCGAAGACTGATTGGGAGGCAATGAGAGTTAAGATCACGTTGTGCTCTACGGTGCCCGTGCAGACTTCGTGGGTCTGAAATGCAAAATACTTTTTATTAGTGGTCTGGTAAATGATTTGTTTTTATTGTGTGGTGAAAATTCAAATTACTCTCAACTCTCGACTCTCACCAAGGGTGAAGCGAGAGGGAGTGTCAGACTCTTAATGACTAAACGGCCTACCGCGGTACCAAATTGTGCATGCCCCGCAACCCCGGCTGAACATAGCCTTGTAAAACCTAGTGGATCTTTGAGGCATTAGGTTGAGAATTAAGAATCATAGATTTTTCACCACTATCATAAATTCATAAAAAACGTTATGTAGTTACTGAGATGTAAGTTCACTTTTACTGAGGTAAAAGAATATGAAACTTACAATATTCTTTGTAGAATTTCCAATAGCTAAGGGCTTGGTGCTGATCAGCTCACAAATGTTTCCAGTCGCTGTTCCGCTGTCCATTGAGAGCCTGATCAGGTTTAGGATATATGGGAGCCACACTAAGAAGCTATTGTTCCTGTTGACGAAGAAAATATCGAGTTATTTATAGGCACAAAATTGAGGACATTTGTTGATTGACTTATTTAAAGCAACAAAAAGAACGTTCTCTACTTTTAATTCCCTCAAAATATTTCTCGACGGACAATATACTAGTAACATAAAAAATACATTATTAGAAATATATTTCTAAGTTTGAAAAGCACATCTGTTGGCTATAGCAATTCGAGAATATTCCACTGCCAAAATTATACCTACAAATATTTTATCGTCTTATCATAAAGTAACGACTTGAGATGGCCACCAATAAAAGCACTTATTTGGCTTACAGATTTTTTTTCTAAAAATTATCGCCAATTTGAGGTTAGTATACATAGTTACAGTATGAAACCTGGTTCTCACGTGATGTACACGACTGCGACGATGTAGAACAGCTGTGCACTCCTCCATACGTAGGGAGGTCTGAAGAGGGGAGCACTTTGCTCATACATCGCTCTGATGAGGCTCATCTGCTTCCTTGGCGTATAATCTCCTAAGCTTAGGGAATGTACCTGGAAAAAAATTGTTGGCAAAGTTATCATTGAGCCTTTTTGGATATTTTTTCTCGGTTCCATTACTATTTTTGGGTTTCTCAACCTTTCCCGTCTGTTCCATAAAGTGCTACATTTTTTAAAATTTTCAATATCGATCTTATAGATTCGCTTATGCAATCAGTCAAACCATTCAGATGTAAATCTAGCTCATTTTTAAGTCGAGAATTACTTCTCCTCCTAATATATGTATCGCAATAATCTTCAAGCAATACATTTTACTTACAGTGTATTCTTCTTTAGAACCTCTATGATTGACATTGTAGATATGCCTCAATACATCCAACGCTTCATCGCTTCTGCCAGAATTGAAGAGGAATTTGGGAGATTCGCAGAAGAAATAAATAGCTAGTGCTCCTATCCCCGACGGTAGAGCAAGAACCACGATGAGCAGTCTCCAGGGCTTGTAGACTATGTTTAACCAGGACAGTTCAATCGCGAAGTCCAGTTTTAAGGTTGGGTAGGTCAGAACTGTAAATGAGGAAGTCGGTCAAGTTTAATTGGTATCTGTTGCTTATGTGTATGATGTAGTGGTCGGGTGATCTGGTAGCATTTTTGGGTTCACATAAAAGATGAGACGAAGATAATTTTGGTCAAAGAATGAATTTTGGAAGTCAAGAAGACTCTAGTAAATTAAGATAAAGTAGTCAGTGAGCACATTGTGCTTCTTGTATTCAAGCACCGATAAATTGGATAATATAGAGAAAGAAATGGCTAATACTTATAGAATTTGTGACAAATACATATTAAACTTTGTAATATTTTCTGAAAGTTTAAGTACTAATTACTAAAATAATGAGTGCTACTTCTAAAAACTACTTCTAAAGATAGAGACACAATTTGTGACACTTACTGCCAGCTACAGCAGGAGACAGTAGAATCAGGCAGGTCATGAGCAGCATGTAGCGGTTCCTCACCCTTTGTATACAGGACTCACCTACCAACGTGTAAGTGGCAGAGTTGGCGGCACAGGCACTGAAAAACAATTGCCAAAATGAAAGTCAATATTGGAAAAATTAAACGTTTTACGAGTACCTATCTTATATCTTATAAATTGGCGGCCCGTGCTTCGCACTATTTTTCGACCACCTTGATGTCATGATCTATTTTGTATGCAAACCGCCATCGCATCGAAATGGTTGTTATTAGCTGATTTTTCCACAACGGTATTATTATTTTTTAAATTTTAACTTCGTTCATTAAAACCTTCTCCAAACTTTCTTCTGGCTTTAGCAAGCATTGCCAATAATTATTGGAATATTGCAAGTCTTTTTGTGTTTATCTACTTTAATGTATGTATATGTATATAATGTGTATCTAGAGTAAGTTTATAGGTATAGACTGTCAAGATTTTTTTTTAATATTGTAATACCATTCTTGCTTTCTCATCTTCTGATAAAGTTAAAGTGTTAGGTACATTAAGATGTATGAATATTTTCTGGCCAGTGCACCAAAGACAAAAAATAATTATAAAGTGTATGTTACCCAATCTATTACCCAAAATTAAAACTTCAATGAACTTGGCTATCATATATGTGCGAAACATTTAAATGAAGACTAATGAAGAGGTATCCATGTATACAAATCGACACCACCGCCTTCCACGATCTTGCATACGAAACAACCTAAAAATAGTTCATCAAAAACATTTCCACAGTTTGTTTTCCAGAAACTTCCTTCCAATGGACAGATGACATTCATTATTAATGGCGAAATATGGCACGTACTGCTCGACAGCCGCGCTTCACAATTAAACGGGTCAAATTAATAAATTCCATGCATTGCGGGAAATCATAACCATATTGATTGTTTATGCTGATACTTCTTAGGAAATGTAAAAGAATTTTATATTATTATCCCTAATTATCGCTTAAAAAAGGAAATCTTAAAAAAATATTGAACGAGACAGTTGATATTATACCCACCATTTTAATCCACTAAACGATCGTAGAAGTGAAGGCTTTTATACTTTATTAAATTTTCTTAATTTTAAATGCTTCGTGTGGTTATGCACAGATAAGAAAATCTAGAAGCCACAGATTTAATTTTATCATTAACAGATAAATATATACTTACAAACAAACACACAGAAACTTGACGAGCCCTAAGAAAAGCCAGTGTGGAGCTAGACTGCTGATGCAGGAGAGTATGAAGGACAGCAACAGAGGGATGACGAGGGTAAACCGACGTCCCTTGGTGTCGGAAACGTAGCCCCATAAGTATGAGACGAGAAGAATACCTGGAAAAAGGCAAAATAACATATTTTGTACAGAAGCCAAAGTTCTGGAAACGGGCATAGATAATAGGTAAGCAATCAGCGCTGCCCATTGACACCCAAATGATCGAGCATGAAACCTTTAATTTTTCAATTCTTCAATATCCCATCCTTAATTACGAAATCCCGTGTGGCTTAGCTAAAACGGGATTAGCCCCAAGGGACAACGTAATGATACAGCGAGCGTCTCAAATGCTCAAATGATGAAAACGGAAAATAGTTGGGTGGTTGAATAATAAGTATTATAAATGGTTTTAAACTACCAGTCAATTACAGCAAATTTAAACCTAGCATTACTATCATTTTCATAATTCTTATTAGTCCGTAATATTTCACTGTTGGCTTCCACGATTTAACATTTTTGTCAACACTCTGTGTCAGTTTTATCCTAATTTAGTAGCTTCCTAAAAGACACTATTACAGCTTGCACAGCTTTTACAGTTATATGCATGCTTAGCAGATTGTGGAGAATTTACTTCAAAAGGTTCAAGTGCCCAGGAAATCATAAAATTAAAAACAAATGCCCATCTTCGTTTGTCTTTTTGAAACTTTGTATTAAGTGATCTTATTTTTTTTCTACTAGTTCGTCTGCAAACTATAGTCATTTTCACACTAGATTACATTTAGACCTTAGTATTATGTAGCCCAGAGGTCTAAGAATCTAATTTTTTTATGTAAAAACTAGAAACGAATCAACATAATCTTACTCAAAGAAACATCTTACCAACAAAAGGTAAAGATGTGAGGATCCCTTTCTGCACGACGGTCAGTTGAAGGTCACAAGCTGCTGCCACCACCAGACTGAAGCCGAACAGGTCTATTCCGATGGCCAGGAGTATGAGGGAACAGGTCATCACGAGCAGAATATTATACAGGCCGTTACCTAGAGAAAAAAGCAGAAAACATTAAAAAGACAAGTGCAAAGAATTTCAATGAAATCTTTAACACAGTCACCACACATGCCCCAATCTTAAACGAGTATTCGGAATAATTTCAATGCATAGGTAGGTGACATGCAGACTGTTTTATGCGATTGGAGCGTGTGACGGGCCTACGGATTACCCTAATGGTAAACAATCAGCGCCCCTCATATACTGCCGCAATAACAGAGGAGCTATAAGTGCGTTGCCGACTTTTTGGGAATTAGGGATTTGGCGTTCATAGGTAGTTGGTAGGTTAAGATTGGGCCTCCGGCAATCTCACACCGGTTTTTATAAGGCCCTTGTATCACTACGGTTAAGCACAAGCATGGCTCTCACATAGTTGAATGATACACAACAAGGTTTAAGTTTTAGGTTAAGTATATGTTTTGTATAAACCAGAAAATGGATCCCTAGTTAGTTTCCTAGTCACGCTTGCATCTACTCATCAAGAATCAATACAATAAAATATCAGGCTGTGAATGTTTGTTACTCAGTGGCTCTGTCACTAAGTGTTCAATTGCATCATTTAATAATATTGATGTACCAGTAAATCATTCAAGATCAAGTTCAAATAATTTATTTGTATCATCAATAACTGTTGTTTGATATCTATTAAACATTGCTATCCTATCTTTGTTGGGAAACAGGAGTATTGTTACGGTGTCTTTTCTACATCAAAATGCATTTTTCACTACTCTTGAGTCATCATTTCCCCACTGAAATCAACAAATTCCGACCAAAACCGACTCTTATTAACTAAAAACCACCCGTTTCGTCTACTGACCCATGCCGAGATAGGACTGCACGCTATTGTGCTTTTCCAACAATCAATAAATATTTTCCCTGATCTTTTTTACCCACTTAAATGAGTACTTCGTAGAAATCAGATAAACATCTTATTACAACGCTATGAGCTCAAAATGAAGTCCACATTCGAAAAAATACCTATAAATTAAATAACAATGCTAATATCTAAAAAACAAATGATCCTTGGAGTTACAATAGAATCAATTTTGAAAATCATAGCAGTAGTTAATATCAAAAAGTCGTCCATACTAATTAACAATATTAAAACAATTACATTATAAAAAGGTATAGACCGGTTCACAAAATAGATGGTGCAACATTGTAAATTGAACACTAAGAACAAAAGCTTTCAAATCAAAATACAAATATCGCAGAGCAATGACCTAAAACTCAAAATATAAAGTGCAAAACTAAAAACACAATTTTCCTCAATAAATAAAGTTTGTCAAGAAGAGAAAATAATGTAAATAACAATTATAGAAGCACATAGAATGTTTACACAACAATCTTACATACGTGCAAGAAAACAAATTTTGGACGCCTCCCAAAATCATCATTATGACAAGCAAATTCAAAAAAATAATTACGAAATCACTATCGTTATTTTAATAGTAATAGACAAAGGAAATATTATAAGGATATACACGAAAATAATCCGTAAAAATTCCATAGAAATGGTTAAAATCCCATTTAGAAAAAATTACCGAAAATGTTTATTGAGGTCTTTTGTACCTGTTTTGTCGAGGGCATCTTCGAAGGTCGTTGGGGCTTCTTCACTGTCACATTTGGTGTCCATGGTACCATAGAGTCACCCACTACACTTCCCTGCTTATAAAGTACTGAAAGCTACACGCGCGTGTATTTCAAAGTCAGCGTCGGATGAGCGTACAGTTAGCTGAACAAACGCTTCAGTTGGTTCCCGAAATACAATAATTGCGTTTCTTTTACAAGAATGGTTTGCAAAATAGTATTTTGTTTCACTTCATTTTTTACATAAAGATTCTTGTTATTCTCACCATTGTTTTTAGTTATTTATAAATAGATTATGATTATAAATTCATGTGGATTTTTAGGTGAATTTTTTTTTATATCTTGTTGCAAACTTGTGTATTTTATTTATGAGATAAAGAATAACATTTTAATTCTCTATTGTAGTGTACTTTTTGTAATAGTATTTTTTTTAAGTTAGCGTTGTAAGTTCTAGTTAGTGTTACGATAAATAGTCACTTATAAATCTAGGTCTATTAAAACCACCAATATAAAATATTAATGAAATCATCAACGAAGAAATTAATTACAAATAAATATCGCAAAACATTTTCTCTGTACGCCACACTTTACCATGACTGAAAACAACTTCAGATCAACCGCTGAAATCTACGTAAACATCGAACGAACTTCATTGCACTATATACATTGCTTGCTACACACGAACACTCTTATTAAACATGGTTACCAAACCAGCAATGGTGGTCAAAAAATGGTGACGACAATTTGATCATGGCAGATTGCCAATAAGGAACAAAATGTATAGACAAGGTCAAGAGACAATTTTACGTTCATATACATCACTGCTAATGATCTACATTTTATTAAATGAAACTGTGCAACTTAGGTTCTGCTTCACAAGGTTCGAATAGCTTATGTTTTTTATAGGAGGCAAACGAGCAGACGGATTACCTGATGGTAAGTGATAACCGCCCATGGACACCGAAATCTTTTCTGGTCCGCAACACCAGAGGAGTCACAGGCGCGTTGCTTGCGTTTTAAGAAGGACAGCGCCTTTCTTGAAGTTCGTATCGGTTCGGAAATAACGCCGGCGAAAGATCATTCCAAAGTATTGCTGTGTGAGGCAGAAATTTTAGAGGAAAAGTTGTTGATTGCCAACCATCTATACCTATATAATGAGAATACCTTAGACCAATGGATCTATAGGATGTACTAGATACATTTAAAAATATATAATTATTCATTCGTAGGAACTGTGTGAAATGAAGATTTTGAAACTGGAGCTAACATAAAAAAATCGTTATATTAAAACATCATATACGTTCGATTTTCGAAAAACGTTTGGTAACGTATATGATGTATATCAATTAACTATTATCAATTCAACTCAAATAAATTAATTTAAATGTCATTATTTTAATCCTTTGAATTCATTTTCCAATTAGTTGTTTATAAGTAAAGAAATACGTATTCATAAAAAATTGGCTAAATAAAATGGCCTATATCCTTTAGGTAAACGTCAAATAATTTATCCATCAGTTCCACAGATAGTAAACGAAAAATATGTATAAGTAGTACATAAATATTATGTTATCTGTAATAGAACCTGAAATTAGTCTACGTATATCATAGTTATCAACATTATTACTTTTTCTAATCTGTAAAATAATACGTGATAGCCAAATATTTAGGTCGAAAATACTACTATTCTAGGTACTAATCCTACTAATACTATAAACGTGAAAGTTCGTGAGAATTTATGTATATATGTATGTTATTTTTTTACGTAAAAACGGCTGAACCGTTTTTTTGTGAAACTCTGGATAAACACATAGGCTGCTTTTTATCAACAATCCACGCCGGCAAAGCCACGAGCAGAAGTTAGTTTCCTAATAATTATGTAATGTTCCTAATTCTTTGGGGCAAATCAATAATTATGGAGACACACAGTCTCGTTGTTTGCCCTGGTCTCGGACCCTGGACAGCTGCCAAGTTCAACACCCTAACTTACTCACATCATACATTAAAGAAAGGCTATTGTCTTATTTGTATATAAGACAATAGCCTTTCTTTCCGACCATCTTTCAAATAAATAGTTACTTTTTTAAACAAATATTTTTTTCATGAGAATCTAATTTGTTGTATTTAGTTCCCTCAGTAGGTTTTAATAATTAAAGTTTTTTTTTTATAAAATTAGGAAAGGATGTTAGTGTTCAGGTGGTATTTACAGAACTTTCATTGGAAGGGGTCGTTAATTATTATTTATTTGACATTAAAATAAATATTTCATCTTTAAGTTCAAACAATGAATTACGTCATTACTTATCTAAGAAGCTACAAGAAAACTGGGTATACATTGCATGGTTCTTTCAGTCAAATTCAATCAATAAAAATGAATGCTAACTGACTCTTTTAGTCTTCATAAACTTGACAAGTATGACACTGATCTCAAGCATTTAAAATACTAACAAAAGTCGTATCTACATTATAATCACACAATTTATAGTATTAAAAAAGGGTAGGTAATCAGCTATAATAGAGTATTTCTTCCATAACATGTAACCTTGACACGTCGTAACAGTGAGGTCAAGGTCGGGAGCGACTCCATGGCCCCGGCCCCGGCTTAATGGGACCTTGAAACATGGACAAGTAATGATGATCACAAATATTTATATTGAACCCTTAGTCCATTTTGTACCTACACAAAAAGTCTTCTTTACTATAGATTTCGCCTAATTTCAATTTACTTATATAATTTTTATTTTTATTATTCTTAGATTATTTAGACATTTATTCATATGGTGAATGAAAAAACTGTGGGATAACCTGGTCTTCATTTGAAAATTATAAGTTCGAAATCGCCAATCTGTCTTGAACAAGCATGCTGATTATTTCTCACATCTCCTTTGTATGCAAAGAGGGCTTTTCTCAACATTTGAAGGCTGCTGCTTTTTCTTTTTCTACCTGTAGCGGCACTATCACGTCGCTACATTACTTAGATACGATAGAGATAAGACATACATGTTAATTGTTGCACGTTTGTTAGGATAGCTAAATCTGAAAATCTCACGCATCTTCTTAGTATATAAGCACCAGCAATTAAAGTAATAAACAGACCTTAACCATCTACAGTCTCATTATTTACCTTGCCACGAAGTCTGGCAAATTGGTGACCCCGACGAAGAACAATCAACATGACTCATTCACCCTGCAAATCAAGCAGCAGCCAACAAGAAGCCTTGGAGATATCAGCCGGAACCGGAATTTTGGAGGGACCAACCCAGATTATGGTTTAAGCAACTAGAAGCCATAGTAGCACCACAGAAGCAAGGAGACGATTACAAGTACTATACGGTCATTGCAAAACTGCCAAAAGAAGAAATAATACAGGTTAGTGACCTCATTACTTGCCCACCGCCAATAGAAAAGTACAAGGCTATCAAAGAACGCCTAATCAGTTGCTATGAGGAATCAGACCAACGTCAGCTCCAAAAATTATTGTCTGAAATGGATCTCGGCGACCAGAAACCATCACATCTTCTGCGCAAGATGCGGACCCTGAGTAACGGAAATATCAGCGACGAAACCATCAAACTTCTATGGTTGAGGCTTCTGCCACCATCAGTGACTTCGGTTCTAGCAGTCACAGAAGACATAGATGTGAACAAGATGAGCCAGATCGCGGACAAGATATTAATAAATTCAACACGTACAGAGGTGTCAGCTGTAAACGGAAACAAATCTGGCGACGATACAATGTCATGCATACTAGCACAGTTAGCAGAAATGCAATTGGAACTAAATGCAATTCAGCAAGGTCAAAAAAACTATCGACGCAGCACTCAAAGTTATTCCAATCGTCGGCATTTCCTACCACAGTCAAGTTCAAGAGAAAGAAGGCACTTTTGTTTTTACCATGGAAGATTTAGAAAATATGCACAAAAGTGTGTTCAACCTTGTGATTGGAAACAGAATCTCAACTCAAGGAAACAGGGAAACTAATTGAAGCACGGACAACGGCGGAACTCTGTGCTATTCACCCGTCCAACCGCCTCACTATTACCGACCGAAAAAGTGGTATGAGATTTTTGATTGACACGGGAGCAAATATTTCAGTTATTAGCAAGCCACAGAGACATTCACTAATACAAGATGAACAATGTATACTTTATGCCGCCAATGGTACAAAAATTAAGACATATGGTGAAAAAACACTCTCTTTAAACTTCGGGCTACGAAGAAACTTTGTATGGAACTTTGTCATCGCCGATGTAACACAACCGATTATTGGAGCAGATTTTTTAGAGCATTATAAGCTATTAGTCGATATAGCTGGTCGAAAACTCATAGATAGGGTAACTGAGCTGACAACGCCCGCAACCCTGATCAAATCGACGCAGCAAACAATCCGCACTATTAACATTGAGACGAATCCACGCATTACTCAACTATTAAATGAATACGAGGATATTACGAAACCAGCCTCCCTCCACACTACTCCAAAACACAACAGAGGCCGAAAAAGCTTTTGATAAATGCAAGGAAAATATAATGAACGCAGTATTAACAGTTCACCCCTCTCGCACCGCCCCTTTGGCACTTATGACGGACGCCAGTTCGACCTGTGTTGGCGCAGTTCTGCAGCAGAAGTCAGGACGTAATTGGGAACCATTAGGATTCTTTTCAAAGAAATTAAGTGATACTCAACAAAAATACTCGACATTCGACAGAGAGTTGCTCGGAATATATATGGCAGTCAAACATTTTCAAAGGTTAGTCGAAGGAAGAGAATTTACTATCTTTACAGATCATCGACCTTTGACTTACGCATTTTCCCAAAAACCGTCATCTAATGATACGCCACGGCGAATACGACAACTGGATTTTATTTCACAATATTGTACCAACATTCAACATATAGAAGGACGTGACAATATTGTAGCAGACGCATTGTCACGGATAGAACAAATTGATGTGCCATCACCGATTAATTATGCTGATTTAGCAAGATGTCAGCATGATGACCAAGAATTATTACGACTTCGTAATAACAAGAATTTAAAATTTTCAAATATCAAGGTTCCGGGTTCTACTGA